TTTCGACCTTTATTCAAGGGTCATAATAAAGGTCGAAAGCTCGAGTAGTGTTTTAAGTGATAACTTGAACATGCATTTTGTCGCAGTGCTATATTTCTTACTTAAAACTGTTTTTCTAATAAACGAGCGGGACATATACACTTATGCCTGACCCCAAGTGACGAAAGTGCCCACTGTGAACTGCAACCTTAGCACAGTATGAAAGGAGGGAAGCGTACTTGATCAGAAAACGGCCCCTCATTTTTTTGCCTTATTTTGACTGGACTTTTGTCGAAAAGACATTTGCACATATTGCCCAGTTATTCTTATGGAAAACAAACTCAAATTACGTTATTAACGTTGATTATTTCAAGATTCCATCAGAGGACGTCATTGGTAGAAAAAATAATATTTTTAAAAAATCTGGCATAGGTTTCACACAAACCTTGATATGAAAAAATAGCCAGTGAAATAAAACACTCTATCCTTATACTCAATCCTTATACATCATTTCAATAGGAAGGACAAGAGATAAATTGACCTAAAGGACGTTGTCAGATGTTTTAGGTACTTTCTCGCCATATCCAAACGAGTATGCTACTTGTATTTGGTATATCAATAGTCTGTAAAAATATCTGACACCGTCTTTTAGATCAATTTGTCTCTTGTAAAAATAATTTCTTCCTATTGAAATGATGTATAAGGATTGAGTATAAGGATAGAGTATTTTATTTCACTGGCTATATTTTCATATCAAGGTTTGTGTGAAACCTATGCCAGATTTTTTAAAAATATTATTTTTTCTACCAATGACGTCCTCTGATGGAATCTCGAAATAATCAACGTTAATAACGTAATTTGAGTTTGTTTTCCATAAGAATAACTGGGCAATATGTGCAAATGTCTTTTCGACAAAAGTCCAGTCAAAATAAGGCAAAAAATGAGGGGCCGTTTTCTGATCAAGTACACTCCCCTCTTTTGGCCCAATTTTACCGTAGATGCAAGCTTTTAGGGAAAGTTTGTATGAAAATTAAATATGTCAATAAAAATAGGATAAAGCAATTTAACTACTATTTTTAGGAATATTTTTAAAAATAATTTCGATAAATCGATGAATAGTAGAACGTCCGGTAGAGAAGAAATAATTTTTTCAATTTATTTTATTGTGTTGTACTTGTGAATCTGTACAATAAACATTAAGAACAAATACATAAGTGATTAAGACAAAAACATTTCATAAACGCACTAAGTCCTAAAATAAAACAAAATAAACATTTATCGATACGAAAATCGCTTTTTTGATATTCATCTTTTCAAGATGTTGGAAAATTGACTGGCAATACTTTGAAAATAAAATCATTGGGAAATAATTCTGTTGCTTTTGGTAATATAATTTTATATATCTGACGAATCGTTGTATCTACCACGCCTGTGGCCTCTTGTACATCTACGAATATCAAACGATAAAAATTAAAAATTAAATTTTCCAAATCACTTTTGATTATTAATTACCTTTCATTGTTTTTCTTTCACCTCCAGCTACTGCCGCCATAAATATCGAAGCAGCAGCGATAGACGTTGGATTACGACTTTGTACATCACATATTTCTTTCGCTTTTTCAGCAATAAAAATAGCTGTTCTTTGAATTAATGTTTCATTTACGAATTGAAGGTGATTACAAAAACGAGGCTAAAATGAAGAGTTTGATTATGAAAACATGTACAACAATGCTGAGACATCTGCTAGTACTCGTACCATAAGATTTTTCAGATCAATTGAGTCGGGAGGTGAAGTATTTGGTAAACTAGCAATTATTTGTTTAAAACATCGTCCAATATCTTTTTTAGATGAATGCGATATAGCACATATTTCTAAATACAACAAACATTAATATATGTTCTATTTCTTTAGCTCAGTAATTTGTACCTTTGATAGTTCGTGGCATTTTTTCTTCTCGACAAGCAATATATATACATGTGGCAACAATAGCATCTTGACTTCGTCCTCGTGAACATTTTTGTTCATAACAGTGTTTGAATAATATTCCAGCACGATTAATTATTTTATGTGGTAAATTGATTCGACCAGCCATAACTCGAATTGCTTCAATGCCACTTCGAAGAGCTTTTTCACTACTCGACATCTTTTAATTAAAAAGACAAAGATAACAAGTTTTAATTTTTCACATTTCTATCGTTCATTCTGTTGTTTATCATAGTTAATTACCTGACGTCTTCCATTACGATATTTTTGATTTCCAAATTCATCAAGTGCAGCGTCTGAAAAGCACAAAAAACAACGATTTTTCTGTTTAGATAATTCTGTATTTTGGATATACAAAGAAACTTACCTCCAGTACCACCTGATATTATTGTTTCAAGTCCTTCACCTTCTAACAATGGATTTTCGGCACCACCAACACGCGACATATCTTTTGCTTCCTTATCATTACTAAATGTTCGCCACTCAGAGCCGACATCAATCATTCTAAATCGAAAGATTTAACGTACTTATTGTCTCAAAATTTGATGCACATAGGAAAACACACCGATCACCAACAACAAGACCACATTCTGGACAAATCATATCACCAGCACGATAATCTTCCACAAGAACAGCATCTGGATGAAATCGACAATTTAATTGTTTCGTATAACTAGAAACAAAGATAAAGTATAAATCTCGGAGATAATCATAAAACTAATAGAAACTTTACCGTGACATTGTCTATGTGACCTGTCAATAGAAATATGATAATCTAAAACAGTTATAATAATCACTTTATTTACAATAAAAGTAGAGAGATTGATAAATGAAATTTATAGATAGCTCTATGAAGTAATGTCTTCTCTTTCGAAGGACGTTTTGCATACACCACATCTATGCGAATTATTTCTATCGAATAAGGAAACTTGATAAGAACTAGTATTATACAACCGACTTATAGTATCTTTAATAATTTATCCAACAGTCCTAAGCTATGTATATAGAATTTATTTTGTTATTCTATTTTTTTTCCAAATACACAAAAGCAAAATACTTCTCTTTCTCTTGCTTACAAAAGTGAAGAGAAGACAAAAACGACAAAAATAAAAAAAGAAATAAACTATACAGGCAAAATAACACGAGAAATGAGTAGTATTACTTGGTTTAAGCGTTCGCATCAGTCCATATTTATCTCATAAAATTACAAAAAGTTTTTGGATTGATTTTTTTGTAAAGAGAATGACAACAGTAGCAGCAGTTTTTACTAATACTACACGAGGTCCAATAGTAATTCGGTTCATGTAATTTAATTAAAACTAACCAATACAAATTGATTATAGAGCAAAAATCAAAAAAAAAAGAACAAATAAATTAAATAAACAAAAAAAAAAGACAACAATCAAAACAAGAGTGGAATTAAACGGAGTAGAACGGATTGATACATATTTAAATAGAATCCATCGTATAAACACGCCATAACTGATAATCTACATTTAGAATCAAACAAATAAATGAAACATATCACACAAATAGCCAACAACAATAAATCTCACAACTTAGAATTGTTTTGATATTTTCAGTGATGATTTTTTGAAAAAGAGTGCAGAGGCACGTCCTATCACAGACATGTATCTCCATCACATAAATATATTTCTTCCGCTGTTCGAATGTGATCGTTCACTATTATGACCTCGTTGATGATGATAATTGTTATCGTTATTTCGATTTTTGTAATTATTGTTATGACCTTGTCTATTGTTATTGTTGTTGTTGTTGTTGTTATTATTGTAAGGTCCGTTTTGAGAAGAACGATTATTATTCGAACCAGATGATGACATTTGTCTAGTGACTGTATTTGAGTCTATAGCGGACACAAAACGAACAGATGGCGTCACTGGAGGACGAGTATTTGGTGTTAGTGTGTCAGTATTATTGTTATTATTATTATTATTATTATTACTATTATTATTATTATTATTATTATTGTTATTATTATTGTTTATGTTATTATTGTTGTTGTTGTTTCTCATTGGATTCACAGGTGGGTTACTACAGTTCCCTACTTGAGGTGGTTGAAACAGCTTCAGATCTAAACAAATAAATATGAATAAAGAACAGTACTTTAGACATAAATCCAAAAAGTTAACAACTTACTTGCAGGATTGATATCAATTGGTGGACGAATAAACGGCTGTAAGAATAAATTTGATGGAAATGGTGGTGGTGGTGGAAAGTTTGAAATAATACTTGCAATGGACGGTGTCGAAAGATCTAGAAAATAATGTTGTAGTTGCTAGATAATTCAAATGTACACTAATTAAACTACTTACGAATCGGCGAAGGAACTGTTGAAATTATTGGTGATGGCTGGGACGCTTGTTGTTGTTGTTGTTGTTGTTGTTGTTGGGCCAAGAGTGAATGGACAGTTTCATAAAGATTATCGTTAGCTTTGATTGCTATAGAAGATGATAACGGTGTTGATGAGCTCGATGAGGTATTGGTAAGGGATGATGATGGTGCTAGATGTCCATGGACATTGCTGTAAGCATTACGGAGAATATCTCCCACTGGATCATATGATGGCACAATTGGATTAATTGTCGTTGCAGGTGGAATAATGTTCAACAATTTGGGGCCATTTGATGATGTTTGATTATGCACCGATGTATTGACCTAAAAATATAAAAAGCATTACAATAAAACAATTCATTTTTAGTACTTTTTAAAAGTGACAGGCAAGTAAAAGTAAAATGTGACTGTTATGCTTTTGTTGTTCATGCTGAATTGAACAACTTTTCTCAGCACTATTGTTCAAATCAGAGCAAATTACTAAACATTTTCTTATTATACATTCTTCATCACAGCACTTTGGTTAGTGTTTAGAGAAATAGTTAAAAGATGTCGTTATTATCTTAAGCAGTAAAACGTGCAACGACAGCAGTCACACTGAAGACTTCGTTCAAATATGATGTGTCCACATAGAGCAAAAGTAAAACATTAATCCTCAATTACAATTTAAGTTTTATATGATTAAGCCTCAAGATCCTAGTTTTCACGCGAAAAATGTCAAATTATAATTTTAAACAAAGTATTTTCCTCCTTATTAGATCTTACATCGTCAAATGGTATGGTTTTTGGTTCACTTCGTTCACAAACTTCAATTTCTGGTTCACTCGCACTTTCGGGTAGAAATGATCGTGATATAAATATTGCTTGTAATACAGTTTTTTCTCTCTCATCTTGTATTAAACGTTCTTGACTATTAATTGTTATTTGAGGTATTGTATCTGGTATAATTATACGTTTTAAATTCAAAGGTGGTTTATCGTTATCATCATTTAATTCACTCATCGAATAAGGCGATACACCCTGACCAGCACCAATACGTCGTTTAAAATCTCTTTCCATTAGTTTTTCCAATTGTGAAATAGATATATTTTTATCCAGACCACGCGCACTCATATGTACCATTTCACTATCTTCTACTTCAAAGAAAGACGTTTGAACTAATGCGTAACTCTTTTCATCAGCCCAAACAACCTTTTTCTTCGTAACTTTTTTTGCACCCGGCTCACTTAAATTGCTTTTATAAACTGTATCTAAAAATAAACAAAGTCAAGAATAGAAGCAGCAGAAACATCTTAATTAATCTCTAATACCTTTGCTTGAAGGGGTATCATCTGTCGCTCGAACGTTATCATCTTTCGTCGGATTCACAATATCAGTTTCAATCGACTGTAATTGTGAGGGTGATGACAGTCTTTCATCGTTAATAAACATTTTTTCCGTTGGAAGACCATCTTCAACAATTTTTTCATCGTCCATGTGCATCGGAGATTTTGATTGATCATTATTGTTAGAATTTGATTGCGGTAATGTATCGGCATAAAACTAAACAGATGAAACATAGTCAGCTTGTATGACATAGAGAACTCATCTAACAATCTATAGATTCATGATTACAGACAACGACTAGACGATACTCTTTTGTAACCATAAAAGAAATAGACGAATCGCAATTTGTATAGATACATGACTGAACTATAGATCACGAAAAACTTGTTGAAGATAGAAAATCCTGTCCACTTACTGGAGTAATTTCTCCGTTACATTGTTTATCAGGTGATAGACGTTTTTTTCCATTTGAACGTAAATCTGTGTCAGTATTTGTTGTTGATTGTGTAATCGTCGATGTTGCTGGCGGTGATTGTATTCCATTTTTTAAACGTTTACGTTCATTATATTGACTAAGAGAAAATTTTCGTTTTGATTGCTGATTAGAGTCATCATTTGACAATGTTTGACGATTGAATGGCAACAAAGGTGCTGGTGAATTATCGTTTGAACTTTCTAATGTCGAAGATGGAGATAGTGATTGTGAAACATAGGGTGGTGATAATGAAGAATCAGTAGAATTGGGCGGTCTAGAAGAAAAAAATAATTCACGTTAATGTCCTAGAGTCAATGGTGTAATATATGCAAATAGGCAGCAGTGTATCAAAGATCGACAAAGTCAATAGAATGAAAGAAAAAAAGAAATATATACAATGAAAAAAAAATGACGATTACAGACAGAGAAAAAAAATGTATTATTGAATACGATATTTCTTGATTAACATGAGACAAAGTAATAGTAGCATAATTGATGATATCATATAATGACCTAAAATCGAATAAATTTTAGTAATTTTGTCAATCGGTTCATCGGTCATTCTCCACTGTATACGATTATAAGGTCCATGATTGTGTCTATTTGATCATTGCGTATGTATGTCCAAAATGACTTTGTCTACTTCCAGATTGAAACTTTCTTCAATATAAACGTTTGTAGTGTAGATTTTGATTTAAAACTACATATATTCAAAAAATCTCTCGTAACCACATCTGATGGTCACACGATATACTAACTCAACAAAGTGTTATTTTTGTACGCTCATATTTGAATAAAGCTGTAAAATCTACTGTAGTGTAGTTTAGTTATATGTTTATCGACTCTTGCCTCAAGTAAGAACTCTATTACTTGTAGTTTTGGAGACAGTTTTCAAATAAAGACGGATTGTTCCATAGTTTTTATTCGCTAAAAAGGTGCAAGTATACCGAATGCTTCGTCTACTCATTGTCTGACCTTTTGAACATCTCATTGATTCACCAATGGTTTAACTACCTAAGGATTATCGTCAGCTTTAAGTATTCTGGTGATTTTATAATCTTATGAATGGTGTCCAAATCTATTCGAGTGCAAGAAGAAAGTTGATATTAATTGAAAGTGACTTTCTCACTTTGGTAGTAACTGTTAACACGGATTTGTACCGTTAATTACAAAAGAAATGTTTTGTATGATTATAAGATCAAACAGTGACGCTCAAGGACTCCTACTCGCATCGGCTGCCAGTGCCTGACGAATTTTTCTTCAGTTTCCAAGTGTGGATGTGTTTATCGATCACACCTAACATTAAGCACTCAAGCTGCATATTCGATTAAAAATAGAATGAATTGTCTGTTCGTAAACATACATAGATGATGTTGACGAGCTTCAGATATTCTTGAAGCATTTATCGAGTCATCGCATCAAATAAGACAAAAAATGTACAACATACAGACAAAGCAAGTCTGTCTGTACGTATACATCTAGCGCTTATCTCGTACAGTAGGAATATAATATAATAGAGTATGGTGAAAAAAGCATACTTTGCTAATGATCACATCAATCTGTTGGATTACTATGACTTCTGACTCTGACTCAAAATATTTTTTTAGATTCCTTACTGTTTACTTTCCAATTATTATTGTATTCTACTATTTTTTTATTAATCCACATCAATACATACAATAATCCATTCTATTTCTGTCCGTAATTGACTATCATGTTTTGTTGGAATCATGTTCTACACACGTTTGTAACAGACACATTCATACACAGGCACACGCACACACACGCACCCATAGAGAGAAAGACATAGGACCTATCAAAAAAGAAAGGAAAACAAACTAGTACAAAAATACTATGAAAACACAGTTTAAAAAATTAAATAGCAAAATATCTGAAAAAATTAATTAGAAAAAATAAAAATTGCAAAATACGTAGAAAAACCTCGTACATAATGCCTGTGACGCACAAAGCACCGGTTCAATCAAAAACTACACTTAAAAATTGACCACACCTACCGTTTTGCGATTATAATGCTAGATGAGCAGTCCTTTAACAAGTTGAGGATATGAAAAATACTTCAATCCATGTAGTTATACGATCTGCACATTCTATACCTACATATTGGTCGTAAACCCATGAAATACGACAACATACGAATAAGTAATAATTAAGCAGAAAACTTGTACGAAGCAATTATCTGATTAAATAGACATTATACACGAGAAATAATGAAGAGAGAAAGGACTTTTGTCGATCATCTGACTTTGCTACAAGCAAATATTAGAGTGAATATAACCTACCTTGCCAATTTAGGTATACGAAACGTTCGCATAGTTAATTTTTCTAGAGGATTTTTAACAACAGAATCCACGGAAATGCTGCCAGAACTATTAGTACTAACACTAGTAGTTGTAAAACTATTTACACAATTTATATCGCTATTATTATTATTTGTCAACGAAGATGAATGTTCTTCAGATGGAATACGTTTCAAAAAATTGTTTGTTTGACTTTTTATTGTTCTAGGTGGTGATGTATTGTCACTCATCTCACGCTGTTGTAGTTTTCGGCGGTTAGTCACTTTTCGATGTTTGGGAGATCTGTTTTCTACACTTTCTCTAATTAAGGATGAGGTGTGGGCCGTTGACGACTCTAATATGAGAACGGGACCAACATCATCTTTTGGCATTGTTTTCGTGACATCTGCAACAGGATGGATTAATTTATGTTTTTTCGAAGAATTTAATAGGTTTTTTTGTTGTTGTTCTTCTTCCTTTATCTTATAACGATGATCACCATTTATTTCCAAAATTTTCAATTCATTCGTCACCTCTTCATTTGACCGTGAACTAGCTTCTTACAAAAAAACAAACAGACATTCAAAACCACTGTAATATTATATCAAAAACAAGATGACCAACCTGATGAAGTTGTTTCTTGGTTAATTATGTCAGGAAAAGAATATCCTTTATCAGACCAAGATTGAATTAAACTATTAGCTATTTCACGAATATCTAGAATATAAAAAAACTCATAATTACAGCAAAGCAACAATAATTGGAACAAAGTAACTAGAGTTCAAAGAAGCTCAGGAGAACTCCTGTAGTGATTCTTGACAGCGTAACTCGTGAAGGGTGTTCAACAATGACATAATGAGAACCATTATCTTTTAAATAGGTTTTTCGTCAAGAATGAAGAACTTCTCGCTGTAACTAGGTATCTAAATCAAATTTTGTAGCTCATAAAGCACTCTCGCAGAAAAAAAACAGTGTTTGAGGCCGATCATCCTCAGTTTTGCGAAGTATTACAAGTTAATCATTTTCCATCTTTACTAAAATGATGCCAACACACCACCTCCTTCTTGCAAAAAAGACCCATTAAAACACAAACACATAGATTAGAAATTTTATTACTAAAAAATGCTTTGTAGAGCGCAAAGAAAACAGGCCGTTTTCATAGGCAAAAGAAATGATACCATATATGTGATGCTTCGACATGACTTTTGTGATCATTTATACTACAAAAATAACTTTGTTTGCATCTGTAATTGGTTCACTTTGTGTCACTGGACAGTTGAACAAGAATAGGCCCTAAAGGAGTCCTTTCCCCGAACAAAAATTTAGATGTAAGATGGACGGAATTTTGCATTGTCAACAAAAAGTTGGATGAAAATTGAATCTAGTAGAAATCATATTTTCGTCATAGTAGCCTCTAAATTTTCTGAAAAATTATTCGAGATTAGTAGGGATTTTTTCGCTTCAAGGTATAATTCACGAATGAATACGGCGACAAAACATTTGCTTCACCATTAAATCGCCCAGTAACGACATATACTCGTTAGATATCATCCATGAGTGACGTTGACTTTTATAATACTATAACTTGAGCCATTGAACCACTAAACCGTTTCAATCCTTCTTCAACGCTAGTCAGATTATGCAACTCAAAAATATGACGCAGTGATGATAAAGAATTTTAGAAAGCTGATTTAAAGCAATGATTTGCACGTTGGTGAATCTTTCTTTTATCTCGCACCTTAACTCGGTGCCTCATAGTTGTCCCTATCGAAGTTAATTTAGGAAGAAAAATCAAGAAATTTGACGGGTATCTAATTGTTTTAACGTCCCCGTGCTGTATAACACTGGACGTCTAGTATGGCATGGAAATCTCTAATTAAAAAAGGAGAGGATGATCGGCGTCATAATACCGCTTAAGTAATATGTACTATAATTATCACTGGCTAATCTAGAGAAACAACCTCTAACATAGACTAAAATATCATTGATGAGCCTATAAATAATTCCCATATGCTAACAACTGACCATTATCCTCAGAATTTGAAGCAAGATTGAATATCGTATGTGGTAATTGAATTTTTTCTAGTAATGCACAATCACATGGTAATCTTTTGAGCAAATATAATATTTGAAGAAGAAATACACGATCATTTTCCTCGATAAATTTCAACAACCATTTATGTAACACATCACATCCGCCACACTGTAAAAATCTAAATATAGCAAAATAAATTTTTATTTTATATATCTAACAGCAAGCACTAAAGATTGACATTTCTAAAATGATCGAGAATATCGATCAAACGACAAAGAAAACGAGACCGTGATTATAGATAATCTTACTTGTTGATTATGTCTGGACATACCGTGACATTCAAAATTTCCAGATAAATTGCTTTATTCACTAATTTTTCGGTAGTTTTCATCAAACTGAAAGATTTCAAACATTACATCAACGGAGAAAAATCGTTTCAAAAATATAATAATAAAACTTACGTAAGAAACGACGCTACGGTTTTAATATTTTTTATTTCACCATCTGCGGTTAACATGTTCACAATAGCGTTCAATAAAGCTTTCGGATCTATAGGAGCCATTAGTTATGAAAATATCGAACCAGTATAATTACTACACTTAATCTAAAATGAATATTGGATAATAGTTAGGACATGCATTAACCACACTAAACGTTTGAAGGCTGTTATTTAGTGATTTAACCCCAACTTGCAGATTAATATGATGAAAAGGAAAGTATGCTACTAGTCAGATTGGGAGCAAGGAAAACCTTGTGTTATATGAAACAAGAAAGCGCTTGTGACTTTTTGGTTTAAACGTTTTTCGGGTACATGAAGTCAAGAGTCAAAAGGTGATGAGTGTTCCGAACGCTTGTACTTCGATTCTTTATTGTTCATTTTCAAAATGTCATGATATTTTTCATTTAACTCAATGTTTTGTTCTCAGCAAAATAAACGCTTTGTTATAAAGATCAGCTGCCGATCATATTACAAGTTCGACGTATAGAAAAAATGCACTAGAAAGATAATCGAGAACAGCATACATCAGATAACATATGCGTTATATTGTCAGGTTTTAAAACTCTGATCTTAAAGATTGCTTTCTTTTCGGCGAGATTCATTTTTGTTTCTAGATAACAAAGTTCTTAGCTTCAATGTATGGTAAACCCGACATCACTGCCTAAATTTTCTGACAAATGTTTGCATAATAAAAAGAATACATATATGTTAGAATCGTGATGATCGTAATTCACTGCAATAATACTTGATACATACTGGAAACATTTCGCTTGTGCATGATTGTAGACTAATGAGATTTGAGAGCATGTGATATTATTGGAATTGTAGACACGTACAGCTATACACTACTGCGAACCTACTGTTGCCTTTGTGTCCATATGTCAAGCTGGTGGTTTCAAAACATCAGAAGAGCGATCAGACAAGAAAGTCGCGGTGTATTTATTACTTCATTAGGAACAAGGTGGCTGATTCCAGTTAGGAAACAACCATTTCTCCCTTTTGGCTGTGGATATACGAAATCATCATAGAATGAATCTTTCTTACCGTAGTGTTGAATTTTGACGACCAACTTATTTGACAAAAGAATTTAAAGCGCGATCTTTCTGATTGTTTCATAGATGGAAAAAGTCCAAACGAAAATGAAGGACAAAACGTTTAGAAAAATAATGATTCATTCATGAGAATCACGACCGTAATAGCAATTACTATACGTTAGGATGGGCTAGCTTCAATATCGTCCCTTCAATATCCTAGAATTACGCAAGCATTACGAAATTCAATTACTCAAGATGTGAAGGAGAAAAAATCTTCCAAATGTCGTCACCCAAACAAATAAACTGCGAATGCAGTTTCAGAGTGCTTCCTTCGATAAAGTAATTGTGTCACAATAACAAATTTCATGACTTTCAGGAAAGAAAAAATTCATAAATCAGCATAACATATGTAGAGACATTATTAGGAAAAACGGAAGACCAAAGACTAACTGCTTGACAGGTTCCCGGGAAAGAGTCCAGTGAATACAGTTGCTATCTGTGGGGTTAAGAACTACGAATGCCATTACGATAAAATCTTAAAGAGTTTGAATTGATTGAATTTCTTTTTGACTGCCACAAATTTCTAATATAGTTTAAATACAAGTCGTTATCTAGAATTGTGTATCCGAGCTCTCTGGATAGAATAGAATCTAATCACTACATTTTGTGAGAATTGCAGTAGCAGTACTTTCAGCACCCTCTGATAGTTTATATTATGACGTAAGTACTGGTCGTTAACGAAAAGCAATGGAAAAGAGGCATGATAACTTAGCGCAAACTGCAAGAATTCATTTTATTTCTCAATTTAACGTGTTGTACGTTGTTTCGTTTTTTCTTTCATGAAAAATAGTTTCTTACGCAATGAACTTTGTCACTTCTACAAAAAGTTAATGACAAAATATGTTACTTACACACGAATTAGTTATAGAAAAAAATCATTAGTTTCTGATGTTAAATTATTATGGTAGTTTTTATCTAGAAAATATTGCGCAATTTTCTTCTCGAAACGGGCGAAACGAACAACACTTACGAGCAGTTAAAAGTTAGATTTTTTGATTTGAAAATCGAATAAGTTATGTACGCACGTGGTTGTAACTTACTTTCAAAATAAATGCAGAAAAGTGGTTAGCGTGTATTGTACAGTTTTATATTCATTTTTGTGTTAAAATATCATCGAAATAAAGTTGGTCTATAACGTCCTATTCAGCAGTCTCTTTCACATTTTACTACGTATTTGTTGAGTTAGAAAAAACGATGTTTCGACAGTATCTGAGAAAAAAAAGAAATGAAATTTCTTCTCTCGTCGACGGAGCTGAAAAATCAACCAGACGAGAAAAAAATTCTCGCCAACTTTTACATATAAATACACGACCGCGGACACGCATATAAAAGAAATTTTTTTTCTGTTCGTAACTAACCTATAGCTATGTACTTCGATGAGTAGTTTGTGAGTTGCTTGCGCTTTTTTTTCTTTCCTCTTTTACACTCAAAAAATTCTTGTCTATCAGTACATAATATGAGTGTTTTTTCCTCCTACGAATATAGCAACTTACGTGCATATTGTCCCATTAGAAGAAGGAAACAAAATAAAAGATAGTCCTTTTGCCCTAGAAATAATATGGCAAAAACTATCTAATCACATTCATATAATTTCTGCTATGTGGCGACACCACTAGTGCGTCAACGTGTGTTATGGCTACTGTTGGATTCTATTTGTGTTAGCCTGTTATACAGTTGCATTCTACAGTAACTAAAAATTGCAATAAAATATATAAATAAATACAATAAAATATTGAAATAGTCATAATTAGCAACGAAACTAGTTTCATCTGACTATTACAGTGACAGCATAGTACAAGGTCCAGTGATGTAGTGACGTATTTTGGGGTAAAAAGAGACTCAACGATACGTGAAATGATCTAGGAATGTCCTGGGTAGTTGTATCAGTTTTCAAGCAATTCTTCTCGCCCTCAATATATAAGAGACTAGGGTGTGGGTTTAATAGAACATATTATTAAAATGGCTTGGATAGAGTTATAACAATAGAATAACGAAGCTTCGATCACATGATTGAGCAGCGTTTCCGTTGTAACTTTGACAAGATGGGAGAAGTTTTATGGAGGAACTCTAAAATATTTAGCTGATAATCAAAAAACAAAATGCTTTTAACTTTTCGGAGTAATTATTTTTTAGTAGGAGTAAATTTTTTAAAATGGAGTAATTATTTCAAACGTGGTGGAGTTCTCGAGCTAATCGAAAACGCTGTGGATGAGAGAGTTCGAGATTCTAGAGACGCAGAAGGAAAAAACGAGTTTAATAAAGAGCGAATTGTGCAGTAAACATCGATGTATTTGGATGACCTATTTTTTCAGAGCAAGAGTACAAGTGAAGCACCTCTGTTACTCGAATTGAGATAGAATGTGACACACAAATGGGTATCGCGTTTAAAAAGACCTTTTCAGGGTGTTTTTGTATCAGCTTGTAGAGAAATGTTGGATAGCGAGCTCATCGCACCAATAGCATTTGCGAATCGAGAAAAGTACGAGGAAGTTCAAAAAGTAGCGCGCTGTTTAAAATAGGAATCGAAAAAGAAACTAGAGACTAGGATTCTGTAAAGATTTCAAATTCAGCTAAATGAAACAATCACGCGACTTCATTCCTATCAAGTAGACGTTATAACTAATAGTTAGCGGTGAAGGATCTCAATGACGATTTATCTATACACTGTTAAGCGTCACGTAATTAGTAATAGCGATTCATTTTGGTACTTCCAGAAGATGTTTTGAACGGTAAATACAGATTTTTCTGGTTTCAAAAGCATTATTCTGAATGTTAACTGTATCATTTAGTAGTATTTAGTCCCAGTAAGGATCTTCTTCTGTATTGGTAATTTTAATTCAAATTTTTCAAATTTCAAATTTTTTTTTATGGCTTAATCATAAGAAAATCAGTGAGTATGGAAAAGAGATTTTGTAAAGAACAATATTATCATGAAACATTTCAGGCTATCAGCTGTAGAAATTTCATACTGGGGCTTTCCGTCTTTTCGCTGGGAAACAGCGGACAGGTAATGAAGCGCAAGGCTAAGAAAAAGAATTTGTTGACCATGATATATATATTTAGCTGCGGCACAAAAAAACTGAAAATAAATAAAAAATAATAAACGGGTAATTAGAAAACAAGAGATGTTATTGGAGAGTTGAAAAGATAAGCTACGCTCACCTTTATTACACAAAGGCGTTTTTCTTCATCATCTCAGTTGAGAGTAGGAAAAAAGAAACATCGCACACATTCTTCTCTCGATTCTCATTAGAAACACTATCCTCAATGTTTTTTTTGCAAGTTTGATACAAATAAGTCATCGGGATTCATTCTGGAATACTGTAACGCTTGTTCGTACAGCAAAATCTCGTTACGAGACTACGAACGACTAAAAAAGCGATAACTTCTACTCATTGCTACATCGAGGGTTTCCGATTGTATTTAGGTAGTGCGTGAAGGATGAATAGACAGTTGTAGGAAGCAGGTGAAACATTTGCCTGCATATGTCAGTATTTGATGGACAATCGAACTTTACAAGACTGTCTTCCACTTATTTTGACAGGCAGCTTATTGATTGTTGAGTATCCTAAACTAATTGCTTATAATAGCTGTCCGTCTCTTACGACTGCTAGGTAAAACGGTTAGAAGATAATCGTGATATTCGTTACACTCAGATAGTTTCGGCAACTTTTTGACAATACAAAAATTACAAAATCTGGGAAACTCTAAACTCGTTGTTTTCTTTTAGCTTCAAATAGTAACTCCAAGCAGAGACTACCTACGTCAATTCGCATCAATCTTGGCTCTTTGGAGCTACAGAGCTACTATATTAGTAGTTAACACAGAAAAGAACGCTCTAAAACAGTTGAACGCTCTAAACAAGTGTCAGAATTTAGAGCGAGGAGTGTATGTATCATTGGAAGAAAAATCTCCAAATCAAAATAGGTAAAATTCGCCTTAACCGTACGATAGACCTAGATGATCGAC